CATTTCACGTTTGCAGAAAAAGAAAATGCACCTTCCCTAACCTATCCTTCGAAAACACACAAATTCCTCACACTACAACTTTAAGAATACTTTGCTTAATTTTTGATAAAAAACTAACATTTAAGGAACATTGTAAATATCTTAGATTAAGTTACTTAATAGACTAAACATTATAAAATTTCTCTCTTCAAAACACTGTCATGTCCATATCTCAACTCTTGTAAATATTGTAAAAGCATTGAGGTTGTCAGAAATAGACTTTGGACTCGCAATCTATGGACACTGTGCTAAATCCCATCTCGCTCTCATTGAAACCCCTTATCACATAGCGGGTAAAAAGGAGCATTCGCGCATTCCCTACATCTCCAACCAAAGTGGTCTTAACTGAAGCAGGTCTACCCAGCATCCATCTCCGAACCAAGCAGAATACAATGATGCTCATACCAAAGCTCCTCCAGCGCAAAAACTCCCTTTTGTTTAATGCGATGAAAACATATCGTACCATCGTACCACCAAAAAACCATCCACGATCGTACAATGTATAAACATTATAAAAAAAGTTGACATAACATCAACACCACAATTAATAAAGGAGAACACTCATCCTCACTGGCTGACGTYAAAATCATCCATAATAAGTACGTTATTCAAGTATCAAAAATCAACCACCAAAGCAGAACAATATATCCAGCTATTTAACGACGCAGTAAACACTTATAAACCAGAGTGGAAAATTATATACACCGATGGATCAAAATCGGACACCCACACTTCGTTTGCTGTGACAAACGACCAAGGTGTCATTATAACCGTCGGTGTTTTACCACCGTTCTGCTCTATACTTACAGCTGAGGCGGCTGCGATATACGAAGCGGTGCTATTTATTGCACAATCTAAAGAAAAACACAAAATATGCAGTGATAGCAAATCGACAATTACCGCGCTATTGAATGATACAAATAACTCAGTACTGATCAATAATATAAAAGATATTTTATACAAACACAAAAACATAATCAAGATCATGTGGATCCCTGGACACGCTGGTATTAGAGGCAACCAACTTGCAGACGATCGCGCCAAAAAGGCGAGTAGAGAACCAGATTTCTCGTACGCACACGTCACATCAAAAGATATTCGCAACCTAGTAAAAAAAGAGCTGTACGAGTCAAACTCTAGAGACTGGATAAACTTTCAACACCAATACAAGGTCCAAACTTTCAATACCAACACAGTCCCACTACCCATCCGACTGTTCCTGCCAATAAAATATTTGTGCGCCTTAGAATAGGTCACACTTTAAGAACACACAATTATCTGTTGAACAAAACGGATAAATCTAGCTGTTCACTTTGCAATCATGCAAACGACTCAGTTAACCACATCCTAAACGACTGCACCGCACTAGCCCAAAAACGAAAACCATATTTGGAAACAGGGAACCCTCCCGTTTTCTGAAAACACCAAATATTGACAACATCAATGCTATCAACAATTTTCTTAAGATATGTAAGATAAATAATATTTAATATTATAAGCAAATAAAAACTAAGTATTAATTTTACACTTAATTATAATTAGACATAACTATTGTAATAGATAGCCGAAGGCCCTAGTAGCCAGTGCTTAATCTTTGTGTATTAATTATTAATAATTAGTTCTCATTTAAATAAATAAA